AAAAACATGCAGTACAACCCTTCAAAACCAGTACAAAGAAAACTGCAATCTGGGTATCGTTTTGGATACATTAAGTATTAGTCAGTTATACTCCCCTACAGCTTTTGTGGAACTCTACAGAAACCAATAAATATAACAACATAAGATCATGAAAAAGGAGGCCATGTGTGCATTCTAGCCTGTTTGATAGTTAATTGATTCAAAAATCTCATCCAGCCATTTCCTGAAAAAAAAAAAAAAAGAATAGGGTTATCAGCTTCAACCACATGGCTGGGTAGTTTGACTAGACTCCCACAACTCTTTGGGTTAAGAAGTGCCACCCTTTCACATAGTTTCCACTTGCGTTCTCTGGTTCCTGTTTCATTGCTCAAACCCACTGCACTGACTTTGTCAATGCTTTGGAGGATTTTTAATACTCAGGTCACCTTGTCATCTTGCCTATTCAAGACGAAAAAAGTTTGGTTTGTCAATAAAGAAGATTCACTGTACTTGTAGCTTACTAGCCCAATCAGCCATTCCACTGACAGGTAGGCAGACACTCCAGAGAAACTATATAGATTTACTGCCCCCACCACTCCAAAAATTATTCATACTTTATTCATAAACTATTAATCAACACAGGGCATTCTGGTGCGTTTAATTTTCTAACCAGGCAACTTAACTGCATGCAGGACTGACCTTTAGAAAACATCAAACACAGCATATAACATTTTTAAAATGTCAGTTCTGAATTACAGCCTAACCGTGACCTTTCAGACAGAAGCAAATCACTGACATCTCCCGTTAATAAGCATCACTCACGTGGGACTAGTCTCCCATTAAAAACACTTTTGTCCTTAAATCTTTCAGCAGTGTAAAAGGACACCAGTGTATAACTGCCACACTCATGGGCCCTTTTCATATGGATGCTAAATATCAAACAGGAAACACGTGATAATTCCTCTAGGATATTATCTTTGGGAGCCAAACTGGACAGATTACATTACACAGAGCTCATCAATGCTATAGGCATATATCTAAGTAGCTTGTTCCAGTCTCCATCAACCCTTTGTGTTAATAGTTTTATTTTGCACTGAAGATGCAGCATTCTGATCATCCTGAAGACTATTAAACAAGTTCTACAACTGGTGCCAAAGCACGGATGAAATCTAATTGGGGAAATGAAAATATACTTATAGGCACAGGCTTAAATGAGAACTGCTTCCCAATTTCTCAGACCCGGTATTCTAGTCTAGAAGGTATTGCAAAATGTACACATTTCTAATTAAATGCAAAATTGTGAATTTCATATACGTACTGTACAGCTGCAATGTAGTCACTGACAAATTAGAAACTGCTGGTCTTGCCACAGGCAAGAGCGAGTATTTGCGCAAATTCTGATGTAAAAGCGGCCCTTCCTGCTCACTAGTCGCAGCAAGTGAATGAGAAACAGTCTCCTAACAATATTAATTCCTTTCTTCTCTTTTTTATGTTGTATATATTTTAAACAATACTTCACTGTCGAGCATTTGAGACATTTTAGTGGTCGGATAAAACTGAGGACTGGATCAGCAGAAAGTTCAACAGTTTTCTTTTCCAAGGGATCGTCAACTAGCCAAGAGATGGGTAATAAACATGGACACTGATGTTGCCCATCGACAAGTTTCTTGGCGAGATTCAGCATGAGGTACAATCGAATAAGTACGGGTTGTGCAGCAGAAACTTCACCCCAGAAATGTTCAAAAGTCATCTGCATGCTGAGTTAAGTAGTATTTGCCGACAAAACCATCTCTAAGTCAATATGTTGAACACAATTCAATTGCACTTAAATCAGCTGTTCAGACGACAGCACGGTCTATGGTGCAACAAGTTCTCCAACAATACAAGTCCTGCTATGATTTTTTTTCTTATAGGTGTGATACATCATAAAATAACCACCAAAGTAAATGACAGAGCACTTTTGCAAAACTTGAAAACAAATGTCTATTTTAGCTGGTTTGCAGGTTGGTCTTTTTTGCAATACTTAAAAAGTATCTAAAAAACAAGTTGGCTTCTATGTGTCGGTTTCATTAAACAATTTTAAAATGAATAAAGTTGCACAATTTGCTTGATCTAAAGGTAATAGGACTGCTCTCGCATCACTGGAAGATTTGTTGCTTCGTTCTGAATCACAGACAATGACGTCTTTAAAGGAGCTACGCACACATTGAAATGGCCTCTTTTGTGATGTAAATTGGAGGTTGTACACATTATCTTGCACTTGGTAATTTCATTGTGGTTGGAAATGCACTCATCATTGCCAATTCATTATAAACCCCAAATGTAAAAATAGGGTTGCAGTTCCCCTTAAATGTCAATCCAATGCTAGAATGCTGCAAACATCTTCTAGTCAATCCTGTATTCCTAGCTCTACACACTGAGGTTTGCAGTTACCGTATCTGGATTACTGCAGGAAAGGCTCTTCAAACTTGTCTTGGTTCTAAATGACACCTTCTGCAGTCGTGATTCACTTGCAATCCACAGGGAGCTGTCAGGCAGGGGATGAATGAGGAATCGGGAATCAGGAACTAACCCAGGATGAACTTCTGGCTAGAAGAAGGGGCTGATCCGCACACCTAATATTTATTGCATTGTCCTATCTCACCGACTCCGATTCTGGGACATCATTCAAGTTTCCAGGACACTCACCAGGGATAATCAGTTTCCTAAAAAAGAACGGGTGGTAAATCGTGTCCTTATAAAACCTGGGAATATTTCTTAACCAGTTTGACAGTTCTGTATGTAAACAATACAACACACGTCAGTTTTTAAGCCCGTAGCTGGTTGGAGAGAGATTTTTGTTTTAAAACTTGCATGTCCCACTAAGAATTCATCTAAATCTCACCAATAATGCTGGCAACTAGAGACATGAATTTAGACGGGCAACTTAGATTCCCGTATGAATACAGTGAATACAAATAATCACTGAAAGAAGAGGTTAAGGTTTACCTCTGACCTACACTCATGCGGTTATCACTACTGATTTGGGTAATTGGAATTTGTCAATGCGATTGTGCAATTTTTAAACTCGTCCACCCTTCTTACAATCTCTTTTTACAGACCTAACATCAACACATCTCTCAAGCCTAGACAGGGGGGCGCGATTTTACTGTTGGAATGTAGCGTTTTAACTCGCTGTGCATGACTTCTCATTACAGTAATTGCAAAATTCGTCGGCTCATATGCGCCTCACGAGGTCAGAGAAGACGAAATGTCATTTCAGTAAAAGAAAAAATATATATGCAAATAATCTTTCCCTAGACAGTCAAATCACTCATAAACACACATTTTTACTCTTGTGTTCCAAGAGTTGCAGGTTTTAATCCAAAGTAAAAAGATATGATTACCGGGGTTCTTCCTATATTTCTGAAGCAATTTACCTGTCCAAGAAGACATTGATCGTGTCTATCATGCATTTTGATGTACTTTTAATTAACTGACCCATGCATATATTTAAATGAGCTCTAGGCGGCTCATTTAAATTGTTTCTTTCTTGGGCAATTTTACAAATTGCAAATTATGAGTCGTATATAAATACATTATAAAGTTTAACATTCATATTAAACTCGAGTCATGGAGTTGAGAACGCACACGTTTAACAAAGCGGGAAACAATCGTGTCCAAAGTAAACTCAAAGTAATACTATTCTCTCAAAACCACACGTGCAAACCCCAAAAGTTATTACCTGAAAGTTAGGGGACGCGCCTGAGGCTTTGTGAATGTAGCGGCCAGCAGTGCTTTCCGGAACGTTGGTGGGATAACACTTCGTATGCAGGGAGTCCCAAATGTTGCAGCGTCTTCCTGCACAGATACGGAACTGAAGCACACAGCAAACGCCTCGTGCTGCGAGTTTGAACACATGGGGAGGGGGCGGTGAACTATCGAAATAAACCTATGACATCATTATCTAAATCCAACACAATGCACTCGTGTACTTCTAACTAATCGTGCGATCTCCCTAGTTTTGTGTCGCAAAAAACGAATAAGTTTGGATCACGTCTTTTCTCCAACACAGCATGCTTACAGAGCATCATGGGGGATGTAGTTTCCCAAACCACGTGTTGTATTTCCTTTTCTAGCGCCAGATCTGGTCAAATCAAAGCAAAACCTGTATAGCACCTTATTAATAATAATAATAATAATAATAATAATAATAATTGCTTACACTTATATAGCACTTTTCTGGACGCTCCACTCAAAGTGGTTTACAGGTAATGGGGACTCCCCTCCACCACCACCAATGTGCAGCATCCACCTGGATGATGCAACGGCAGCCATAGTGCGCCAGAATGCTCACCACACATCAGCTATCAGTGGGGAGGAGAGCAGAGTAATGTAGCCAATTCATAGAGGGGGATTATTAGGAGGCCATGATTGATAAGGGCCAATGGGAAATTTGGCCAGGACGCCGGGGTTACACCCCTACTCTTTTCGAGAAACACCCTGGGATTTTTAATGACCACAGAGAGTCAGGACCTCGGTTTTATGTCTCATCTGAAGGACGGCGCCTGTTTACAGTATAGTGTCCCTGTCACTATACTAGGGCATTCAGACCCACACAGACCACAGGGTGAGCGCCACCTGCTGGCCCCACTAACACCTCTTCCAGCAGCAACCTTGGTTTTTCCCAGGAGGTCTCCCATCCAGGTACTGACCAGACTCACACCATCTTAGTTTCAGGGGGTTGCCAGTTGTGAGTTGCAGGGTGATATTTAACCTTAATTCAACAGATCTCTGCAAAATGTGGTATTTACAAATTTGAGAATAACCTTCATGATTTTTTTTATAAGTCAACCTTTTCTCATTAACTTTCATTTTAACACTATTGTCATATTTAATTTGTAGTATTTTGTATTTCTATCAAGATTTCAATTATGATTTTTGTAAATCTTATTGACATTTTCTTTCATTGTATTCAGAGAACTTTAGGATTGCTTTGGCATGAAAGGCACTATACAAATAAAGAAATAAAGATGACAGTGTTTCAAGTCTTTTCATTTAATCTATTCACAATCTGTATCTGAGATTAAGAGAAATCAAACCAGAGGAAGTATGGGAGTGAAGCATAATTAAGCCTTATTGCACGTTATTTAAGATGGTCAAGAGTTGGGATGGAGAGCTCCAGTAATACAATCTGATCAGGGTGAAAGGAGGCTGTGTGAGAAGCGAGGAAGTCTGGTATCACATTTTTCAGTTTGAGTCTTCTGCGGGGTAACTCTCTAAGAACAGACAAGCATCCCCCTGCCCATTGATCCCCGGTGCTTCATCAACTCATAACAGGTGATCAAGGGCGTGTTCTGGTTTTCCAGCACATTAATCAATTAAAATCTAGTACAGTCTTCTGCCTGCATGCTCCTTCCTCTCCATGGCTCATGAGAAGCAGTACAGAGGTTGCAGAGGGGTTCAGTGTAGCCTCTAAGCGCAGACTCTGAGGGTGTCCGAATGCAGCAGGGGCAGATCGGGGGCGAGGAGAAGCTCCTGTCCAAGGGCGGTGTCTTTCAGGGCAAACAGAGTGACTCCTGACTTGTATGCTGCTGGGATCACAATGTGCGTCATTCTGGGGTCATTCTCTTCCTCACGCACCATCTGCCTTACCTGGCCTGCCACAGGACACAGTTTATTGTGATACACAATACTAGTAATCGTCATCATCATCATCAAGTGCAAGCTTCACTACATGAAAAACACTACCTATGAATTGAACTTCACGGCAGAAGTGATAAATTTAGTTTCTATTAAAAAATGTAAAAATTAAATTAGTAATTTAATTAAATTAAGAAAAGTACAAAAGCATTATAAAACTGGCAAGGCAGCTTTGAAGAAGGGCCTAGGGCAGTCACTAATAATGCTCCTGGAGGCCAAAACAGAAAAAACATAGAGATGAAGTTTGAAAGAGACTGACAAATGGAGAAGCTAACAGTCAGGCCCTGGGCTCTTCTCACCTGCCACGTCTAGAATGTCCCAGCAGGGGTCAGTGTGTCCCTGAGGCAATACCGAGACCGGTGTATCAGCTGTCAGCCTCTGCAGGACATCCTCTCTCCTCACCAACAGCACCGAATCACTGCACAGACGCTGCTGCACCACCTGAGCGCTCACTGGAAATACACACACTGATCACAGAGAG